TCAGCTCTTCAGCTCAAGGCTAGCACTCTACCACTTGAGCCACAGTGCTACTTCCTGCTTTTTTTCTTTTTGCTTATGTGGTACTGAGGAATCGAACCCAGGGCCTCAGGCATGCAAGGCAAGCGCTCTACCACTGGTCCACCTTTGAAGCCCCCAGCCTAACTCTATTTGAAAAGCACAATTTTATACTGAAAGAATGTTTGAGGTAGAATGCCAAAACTGTATCATCCTAGCTACTCCAAATGGTAAGAGATGAGGGTTGCAATTCCAAGACAGTCCCAGCAAAGAAAGTCCTTTAAATACTTTCTATTTTTTGTTGGTCATGGGGCTTGAACTTGAGACGTGGGCACTGTGACTGAACTCTTTTGCTCAAGGCTAGTGCTTTACCACTATGAGCCATGTGGCCCCTTTCCAGTTTTTTTGGTGGTTAATTGGAGAGATAAGAGTCTCATGGGCTTTCGTGTCCAAGCTGGCATTGAACTGTAGTCCTTGGATCTCAACCTCTTGAGTAGCTAGGATTATAGGTATGAGCCACTAGCACCAGGCTAAATACTTACATTCAAAAGACCACCAAAATGACCGTGGCTCACTTGAGCAAAAAAAACTAAAGTCAGCATCTAGGCCTGGAGATCAAGCCCCAGGACTGGCACGCACACATACACACATGAACAGGAGGAAAGGAGTTTGAAAGTCAAAGTATATTTTAATCATCATATAATATTAAGTAATAAATGCCATCTACTACTTTCTTTTTTTTTTTGGTTGGTGTGGGGCCTGAACTCTGGGCCCCACTCTTACTCACTTTAAAGAGAGAATAAAAAAGTAGTAGATGGGGCTGGGAAGGTGGCTTAGTGGTAGAGTGCTTGCCTTGCATGCATAAGGCCATGGGTTTGATTCCTCAGCACCACAAAAGCAGAAAAAGCCAGAAGTGGCGCTGTGGCTCAAGTGCTAGAGTGCTAGCCTTGAACTGAACAGGTGAGGGACAGTGCCCAGGCCCAGAGTTCAGGTCCCACAACCGACAAAAGAAAAAAAAAAAGTGAATAAGAGTAAGCATCTGCTATATGTATTGGTTAATCATTAGTGGATGACACAACAAAATTAAGAAAAATAAAAAGAACCTAGTATTTCTACACAGTATTTGAAAGTTAACAACAACAATAAAAAGCTTAATATACCAGATACAGGTGGCTTACACCTGTAATTACTCAGGAAGCTGAAGTCTGAAGATCCTAGTTCAAAGCCAGCACAGAGCAAGTATACAGACTGGACATTATCCAGCAAAAAACCATGCTGGAGTTGAGTCAAGTGGTAGACCACAGCCAGCCAGGAGCAAAAATGTCTAGTGAGACACTAACTTCAAGCCCCAATACCAGCACACACACAGAAAAAGGTATGTGGATACATAAAATTAGAATTGAAAAAAAAAAAAAAAAGGAACGAACATGATTCCAGTTTTTTTTTGATCCGGCTGGTAATTTCTTCCATCTTTTGACAAGCAAAACACAGGCATTGCAGATGTCTCCTGAACGGGTTTCATGCAACCTGATAAAGAAAACAAACCTGGATCAGGCTCCTTTACCTTTAAGAATTCATGCAAGTTCACTTCTCCCAGAAAACCATCTAACCATCCATTTGTAGTCCCAAGATACAATTTCTCATCATGCTAAATAATCTTATTCCACTGTTTGAAATATAATTAGCCTCTATCGGACCAATAACTATTCTATTTCAATCTGCTAGCTTAAAAATAAAGAACAAAAGCACACAAATAATGTTTTTTTTTTGGGGGGGGTCCGGTTGTGGGGCCTGAACTCTGGGCCTGGGCACTGTCCCTTAGCTCTTCAGCTCAAGGCTAGCGCTCTACCACTTGAGCCACAGCGCCACTTCTGGCTTTTTTATTTTTGCTTATGTGGTTCTGAGGAATCGAACCCAGGGCCTCAGGCATGCAAGGCAAGTGCTCTACCACTGAGCCACCTTCCCAGCCCCAAATAATGTATTTTTTAAATTAAGTACCAGTAAAACTTTGGTCCTACAAGAGACTCTGGTCACAGTGGTTTTGAAGAATGCAGTTAAACCATTCTTAGAATACACATATACTTCATTAAGTTAGGTAACAAAATGTCACTCTGAAAGTAAAAAGAGCCAGGGTACTGGTGGCTCACTTCTGTAATCCTAGCTACTCAGGAGGCTGAGCAGGAAAGTTCATGAGATTCTTATCTCCAATTAACTATCAAAAAGCCAGAAGTGAAGTTCTGGCTCAAATGGTAGAGTGCTGGATTTAGCACAAAAGCTTAGAGAGGGGCTGGGAATGTGGCTCAGTGGTAAAGTGCTTGCCTTACACGCATGAGACCCTGGGTTTGATTCCTCAGCACAACATAAGCAGAAAAAGCCGGAAGTGGTGCTGTGGCTCAATTGGTAGAGCGCTAGCCTTGAGCTGAAGAGCTGAGGAACAGCGCCCAGGCCCAGAGTTTAAGACCCATGACTTGGGGGGGAAAAAAAGACAAAGCAGAAAAAAAAATATTGGGGCAGCTATTAGAGAGAATAAGGGGAAAAAATGTAAAATCTACCTATGGTGGAATTTTAAAAAAGGATCTGTCTTAAACTATACTGAGCTTCCTAACTAACTTGGCAGTAACTAGTGCTAACTGGGAGCCAATGTCTCATGCCTGCAATTCTAGCTACTCAGGCTAAGATCTGAGGAGCATGGTTCAAAGCCAGCTTGGTTAGGAAAGTTTGTGAAACTCTGGTCTGTAATTAAGCACCAAAAAGCCAGAAGAAGAGCTGTGTGGGTCAAGTGATAGGAGTATTAGCCTTGAGCAAAAGAGCTCAGGAAAGCCTGGTGCTGGTAGCTCACACATGCAATCCTGCTAGGAAGCTGATATTTGAGGATCATGGTTCAAAGACAGCCTGGCAGTAAAGTCCCTGAGACTCTTCTCTCCAATTAGTCACAGAAAATGCCAGAAGCGGCACTGTGACTCAAGTGATAGCAGGCTAACTTCAAGCGAAAGGAGCCCAGGGACAATTATCTGGATTAATTTTAAGATTAGGAGCTTTTAAAAGCTAGATTAAAAAATAAATTATATGAGCCGGGCGCTGGTGGCTCACGCCTGTAATCCTAGCTACTCAGGAGGCTGAGATCTGAGGATCACGGTTCAAAGCCAGCCCGGGCAGGAG